TGTATGTATGTATTGTGATAAGAGTTGTATGTTTCAGAGACCCACAAGAGCAGTTCTACTCTGTCCTATATAGTCACTATGTATGTATTGTGATAAGAGTTGTATGAGCCCCCAGTAAAATTATTTTAAAAAACCAAACTATTTAGACAAGCACAGTTCTCAGTCTGCTGATCTATTGGGTACGTACTTCACAGAGTTGTGGGACTTAAGTGAGATGATGTGATGGAAAGATGCCCTGTGTTGGTCAAAGGCAAATGGGAGGACCGGTCTTTTATTACGAGTATTGTTTGTGCAGGAGGTCGGCTGGCCAGCCCTGCATTGTCGTGGCAGGTTGGAGAGCAACGGAAGCAGATCTTTGTTAGGCTCCCGCCTGCCTGTGCTGCTCGCTTTGGAAAGCTCCCGTAACGTCTCTGAGCTTTAGCTTCTTTGTAGGGCTGTGGTGTGAAATGCACCTCAATGTTTCCATCAGTGCAGGGAGTTGCACTGATAGGTGGCTGAAGCACCCAGCATCGTGCCTGGCACACTGTAGGTGCTTTTTAAGAGCTCCCGCCTTCCCTCTTCTGTCAGCTAATAAATGATTTGACCAACGTTCTTGGAGGAGTTTTGTTCTTAGCTGTCCATTTCCCCGAACCTTCTAGTCTCTCCATTCGAAAACCCAAGCTCCTTTCGTTAACCAGAAAACATGGCGAAGAGTGTTGACTCACCTTGTTGTTTTTTTTTGTAAAGACAACCATGTACTGTATAGTTAAGGTAATTACACGCTCAGGTATTAGGTTGATTATTCTATAATGAGGGTTCATTAGGAGGACAGCTTTGTACTATCTTGATTACGTCTTCCTACGTTTAAGTCAGGACGACGGAGTGTTCTAAAGCAAGACAGTGTAAATACTAGAAACCTGGGATCCCCTTTCGGGAGCAGGTTGAATCATGATGTTAGATTTTTTAGGGGAGTACTTTATGCAGGAGGAAGGTCTCCATCTACCCACTGCTGCCAAGTCGAGTGGATTCTAACTCATCGCGACCCTGTAGGTCAGAGGAGAACGGCTCCGTATGGTTTCCATCTGTATGGTTGCCAAGGCCGTAAATCTGCATGGAAGCAGGTTTCCTCCTTTTCCTCCCCCGGAGTTACTGGTGAGTTTGAACCACTGACCTTGTGACTAGCAGTCCAATCCTTAACCCACGGAGCCACGTAGTCTTCAAAAGATGATATCCCCTCTATTTTGAGTCATTGGTATGAGATGTCTCAGAAGGTATGCACTTAGCTTTTTTGAGGTTTAGTTGAAAAGTTATTTACTGTTTTGGAAAAAGTTTTCCATCACTCTTCCCGACGGGCCCTCACGATCCTATCATTGGTCTCATTTTATTCCATGCTGCTCTCAGACTGTGAGAGTCCAACTGTCCTGACCGCCCGCAGGGACGTCAGGACCACATCTGCGAGGCGAGTGACCCGTTTGGCACACGGTCTCCCACGTGGCACGGCTCAGTCTTTCACGGATGGATATGACCAGTCTGTCTCTAGGACCTTGAGGTGAAACAGGCGGACGTAGTGAAGAAATCACTCCTCGCCTGTGCCTTGTACACTGAGCAGGCAGAATGAATACTGGCTCTTACCATTATTACACCATTGGATAAATGAGACTGGACACTTAGGCTCAGCTTATACTTTTTAGAGATTTTTTTCAAGTGAAACATCAGGTAGTCTCATTTAAAAAATAGTATTCTTAGCATATGCAGTATTGCAGCCTTCACTCCCTGTACAATTTATGTATAGAAGATTAAGAATGCAAAATAGACTTGCCCGAGCCTGAATTTAAGGCATACATAAGAAAAGATGTTTAAACAACCCTGTGCGCAATTATTTAACCTCATTTGCCATTTTCCTACACATTATCTTCTATACTGATTTGTCCTCCTGGAAGTGCCCTGGGCACACAGCTGCATCTCCAGCCCCAGGCTCACCCACAACCTTACCTGCTCCTGCAGGTGACTGATGTTTTCCTCATAGTGGGAGTAATCGCGCTTCTTGCCAGGGTCCCTCTGCTGATGCCACTTCAGAATGTGACTCTCCAGCTCGCCGTTGGCCTCCTCCAGGGCGCGCACCTTGTCCAGGTAGGAGGCCAGGCGGTCGTTGAGGTTCTGCATGGTCTCCTTCCCATTTCCCCTGAGCAGGGAACCTCCTCTTCCAGACCCCCATGGCCTTCCAGGCGGCTGGCAGTTCGGCGTGGTGAAGGACAGGGACACTCGGGTGCCTCCTGTGCCACCATGGACACTGGGAGGCTGAGGGCAGTGCCCAGGTCGACCCGGGCCTCCTCCTATGCCGTGAAGGAAGCTGGAAGGGGTCAGGTTGAAGCTGTGGCTGAAGTTCATGGTTCCATCTGCAGGTGGGGCAGGGCTGGGTTGGGCTGCTCCGCTCCCTGGCTCCACAGGACTGAGCTGCCCCAGACCGCCCTGCATGGTTTTATGCCCTCTGTTGTGGGAGTTCCCTTCCCTTACAACTGTACCAACAAGATCGTATCATTGTGCAACAAGCGCTTCCTCTTGGTCAATCCCCAGGGCCGTGGGCCTCCACACGTCGGTGTTGTTTAGAACCACATCAACGTGCTCCCTGGCTTCCTCCTTCCAGTTGTCACTGGAGGGGTGGCCCATCCCACTAGGTGGGTATTAGTCTCGGGTGTCTTGTTAATCTTCCACTGTAGTTTTCCCTTGGTCCACCTATCTGAGAAGGGTCAGATTAAAGTTCAAAAGATTGTTGGGTATAGATTTCCTTAAAACCCAGAAATGAAACACCACCCCCACCCACCCACATCCACTCCCCCCCCATACGCATACACTGCAGTTCCTTCCACAGGAAGGATGGGTAGGGAGACTCACAAGAACGGAGCCAGATCAGATCAGAACCTTTGATTCTAGAATGAAGATACTTGTGCCGAGGAAAGCAGTGACTGGCGTCAAGATCTGATGTCTTACCGGCAGGGCAGCTGCTGTTGGATGGAAAGTGATTTCAAAGGAATCGCCCTTTAGAAACAACCCTCAATTTGCAATTAATTAACTAATGGCAGCGCCTGCCACTTCCAGGGTGCCTTTCATCCCAGGACACCTCAAATGTAAACACCGTCAACCGTGCTCAGGACGGTCCTTGGCCTCTGGCCAGAGCTGAGCCACCGCTGTTGTTGCTTAACTGCCCAGCAGCCCTGCCCCACAGTCGAGCTTGGGGTGGTGAGGCCCCGTGGGTCTGTGCCCTGCCGAGAGGATGGAGGGAAACAGGAAACCTGCCCGGGACTGTCTGTTGTGCTTGATGGATTTTATACTTTGTCTGCCAAGGTAAAGGTTAGGGCTACAGAAAAATGTCGATTGGGGGCAGGGAGCCGTGTGCTGGTTACTGGCGACTAGATTTAAAGAGAACTTATAAGTTAAAGTTCAGCCTTGGAGGGGACTTCAGCATTCCTTGATGCAAGTCACTCATAGTACACACCAGGAAATCAAGGCCTGTGCAGGGGACATGGTGCGTGACAGATTGAGGAAAGGATTCTTTTGCCATATTAGGACTTGCGTGGGTAAGCTAAACAAAACAAAACAGGAAAAAAACCATAGCTAGTGGAGTCTCAGGGAGCTCTGGTGGCATCCTGGTTACAAGTTGGGCTGCCAACTGCAAGGTTGGCAGTTCAAAACCATCAGCTGTTCCGAGGGAGAAAGACAAGGCTTTTTACTCCTGTAGAGGTACAGTCTTAGAAACCCACAGCTCTACCCTCTCCTGTCGAGCCGTTATGATTCAGATGGACTCTCTGGCAGCGAGTGTGTGAGTGAGTAGGGTTCCAATCCATGTATGTTCAGGTTTATTCCAAACAAACTGTACGTCCACATGTCTTGGTGATCAGTGAGTGGCTGCAGACAAGTTCTTTCAACAATACACTTGTTTTGTGTAGTTGCCACATCAAACCAACATAAACAAAACCCACTGTCGTTGAGTTGATTCTAATTCATAACAACGCCATAGGACAGAGCCGACGTCCGTCCTAGGATTTCTGGGGAAATCTTTACAGGAGTAGATCACCACCTCATTCTCCCAGGCAGCAGGTAGTGGGCCTGATGGTTCCCAACTCATCCTGCCACCAGGGCTCCTTTGTGAGCCTTAACAAAAATTAAAAAAGGTCCAATCAAAACAGTGACTTCTGAGGGGATCGCCTGCACCAGTGACATTCAAGGCAGAGAGGTCAGCTCCGAAGGTTACAGCCAAAAGATGTGGGGAGGGGGGTATGACAAAGGAATACTCAATACCTTCTCTCAGGGGACACAGCATGATCACTGGAGCTTCTTAGGAAGGAGTTTCGTGAACATCGACTCACTATTGAATGGTGGGATGCCTGGATTAGGTCCTAATCAAGTGGTTTGGAAGAAAATATAAAATGATTTGGCAATAAAAGTTCATGATTTTAATAAAGGCTGTGAAACGTGTGCCGAGGAAGTTGTTCCAACCCGTTTGTGCACCTGTTCTTTCTTCAAGGGCACAAAGGGCTGCTCTATGAGAATTTCATTGGGAAGCATTAGCTCTACAGACTTGATCTTGACCTGTCCGGACATCCTTCTACTCCCCCCAAGTCAAGAGCATTGAAAAGGAGCATGACCTGAGTCCCTTGAGGTCACCCCAACTCAGTTTGGTGTGGTGTAAGTTGAAGAGCACAGAATTCTTTCGGGATGGGAAGTGGGGGGTTATAGAGGTGGAAACACTGTCTTCCGAAGTGTGTAGACCTCTGGAGGGGTTGTCAAGAAACAATAGCTTCATATTTTGATAGTTTTAAAAGAACTGTTTCTTTCATTTTGTAGCAATCCTTTTTTTTGAATTAAACCCATGTGCTGAACTTACCTTAATGGTACGTGACAATCACAATTGTCATTAAGATTTGTGGTCACAGTGTTTTCGTCGCCCTTTAATGTTCATGAGATCAGTCATGACGGCCTCTCTTTCATTTCTGGTATTAGTTATTGTGTCTTCTCCTTCTTTGTATCTTAACCTGGCTAGTGGTCTATCATTTTATTGAATTTTGCATATAATCATTAATTGTTGTCATTGATTTTTTTCTATTGTTTTTGTTTTCAATTTTATTTATTTCTGCTCTAAGTATTTACTCTTTCTTGTGTATTTTAAAACTTTCATCCTCTTTACCAGTTTCCTAAAGTGGAACCTTAGATTATTGATCTGAGATCTTTGTTCTTTTTTAACATATGCAATGCATTTTCCTCTAAGCATCGCTTTTGCTGCATCTGGCGAATCCTGACAGTTTGCATTTTTAGTTGGTTCAACGTATTTTTAAGTTTTCTTGATGCTTCTTCTTTGAGCCATGTATTAGTTAACTAGGATGGCACAGGCGAGTCTTCTCGGACTTCACAATCCTTCTCTTTCATCATGGTGACATAACTCTCCAGCTGGCGCGGCACTCTGCTATACTCACTGTGTTCCTTCTTGACGTAGACTAGCAAAGGTTCCTGTCCCCTTTTGCAGATGAGGAATCTGGAGCTCATAGAGGTGAGATGACTGAGAACGGATGGAAATGCCCTGCATGTGATGCAGCACACAGGCTCTTAGGTGCCGTTGTCTGTGCTGTTTCCTCTGCCTGGAAAGTCCTTGCCTGTGCTGTGCTACCCAACCGGGCTCCACTGCCTTCAAGTCATTGTTCAACAAGGTTAGCAACTCCTTTCACAATAACTCTCTTCCCAGAAGCATGTATTTCAGAGGACAGCACTGAAGCTGCAGCTCAGGGAGAGGGACATGTCTGATCAGAGCACATGGGAGCCAATGGAGGGGGAGGAAGAGAGAGTGGAGCACATCCTGGCCCACCAAGCCTTGAGGACAATATTCCCGCTCAGAGCAGCCAATCCACAGAGAAGACCGTATGGCTGGCCCCACTATGAGACACGACATCCCTCACTGATGTCCTGCTTCTGGAAAGATCTGTCCTACAGGGGACAACAGTGGAGACATAGTGTGGGAATTGTGCCCGATCTGATCCCACCACACCGAGGCAAAATACTAAGGGCATGCAAAAGAACAGCAAGGGGAACAGAGTAACAAAGTCCCCAGGGAATACCAAAAATAGACTTTGGGGCCAGGGCTTGACACCCCATCAGTCTTGACCAGAAAACACTCTTAAAGGCCAACAAACAGTCCTTGAACTAAAAGAAAACCAAAAACAAAACTCTCTTAATTTTTCTATATGACTGGGGCATCCCTTTTATGAGGACCTCCCCCCCACCTTCTGTATCCCTAGATCCTTTAAAGGGGCAGGCATCTTGTCATCCTTTTCTCCGCCCCTTCCCCCTGCCTCCTCCCCATCATGGAAGCTGAGAGTCCCACGCTGGGTTGGAATATGTCCTACCCCTTTATTGTCCCTTTTATCTTGCACCTGTTATGCTACCTGGAGACCATTTTCAAAATGGGGATGATGTCTTCCATCTTTCAAACTTCAAATTCTGGTTTCTTGTAGGAATTGACAACACGGGTATTAACTTAAAAGTGAACTTTTTCAAATCTGGATTTTGAACTCGGGTCCTCTCATGCCCTCGCCTCCTGGCCCCTTTAAGAGTATAAGTTATAGAGCCCGAGATTAGCCTTTCACCACGGTAAAACCACTTTACATTTCAAGTCAAGCCACTGCAAACACACCCAGATCTGCTCATCCTTCTCTGACCCGAAGAGCTGGCTGAAGAAGAGTCCTTCAGGCGTCCTCATACCTGGGAGGATGCCCTTTATCGTGCCACCGAGGACAGGCTGGAAACATTGAGTCAGGGCCCCAGGGAGCCGGAGGGAGGGAGTGTCCCAGAGACAGTGCCCTGTCGGAGCGTGCTTTAGGGGTCACTTAGTGGGAACACTCGAAACGACAAAAGGGAGACAAGATTAAAAGAAAGCAAATGGAGGAATCACAGAGACTTGTTTCGACCTGTGGAGGCAAGGAGTGTGCTGATGGACGTGAGTGATTTCTGATAGTTTGTTTTGATACAAGGCCACGGTTGAATCTAATTCTGTGGCTGTTCCCATGGACCCAACCTTGTAAAGAAGAATACTTTCTGTGCAAGGGTCAGACTCTACTCTGGTCCTCTAAACCCATTCCTGAGACTCCCCCATGGAAGGGCCCATTGTCTGGCTCACTTCCGGCGGGTCTGAGTGGCAGTGACTTATTTTCCCCCATACCTTTTGTGTCATGGCTATATCAGTTTATATCTGTTTGTGGGAAGTTTCAAGTTTCTAAATTAACCGCTAGCAGCACGTTTCTTGTGTTAAAGCTCAGCTAGGATAGGGAAGAGATGATGGTGAGATTTGAGAAGACTGGGACTAAGCAAACTCTTATGATACTGTATCCTACCATGATTCCCCT